CTTACTAGGCGCATGATTTGGGGCAAGTTAATTACCCCCCCCCCCCGCCTCAGTTTCCTCATTAATAAAATGGGGATACTATCCTACTCAATATATACCAAATGTCTGCACTCTATAGCAGAAACTCAAAGACTGGAAGATAAAAAAGCATGGAGAATAATTGTGGATGCTAGAGACAGTGTGGGAGGAGGGTGAGAAATGGGGGAGAGTGAGAGAAAGGGAATCAAGGGAAAAAGAAACAAAACATTTAAGGGTCACAAAAACGGAAATTTTTAAATGTGTGTGTCACCTGTGTTTGTTATGAGGGTATTTGGATTGATTAGGGTCTTCGGTGATTCAATAAAATGTGTGTGTGTGTGGAAAACAGTATAGAAAGCAAACATAGATACCAGAGACAGTGAGGGAGGAGAGTGGGAGATGGCGGAGGGTAAGAGATAGGGAATCAAGGATGGGGGGGAAAAAAAAGCAAAACATACAGGAAACAAGAAATGGAAGATCATTTGCTGACAATAACATGCTTGTTGATGTGCTTGATTGAGACAATATACAGTGTACTCTGGATGGAAAATCTCATTTTGTATGCTGTGATGATGTACAGTGAATGAATGCAAATAAATTGAAAAAAAAAAGGAAAAAAATTTTTTTGAGAAGTTTTTTTGCTATAGGGCGCGTGCGCTCACCAGACAGACAGAGACAGAGAGACAGAAAGTGAGAAATCACCCCCAGGGGGGATGGCCATACCACAATCCCTTCTCTTCCATTCTCCTCTCAAGATCTTGGCTGGGCACGCACGCACATGCGCCTGGCATGAGTTTTAAGCCACCGGGTCCAGGACGCGAACCGCAGTCGACATGGAAGTCCAGCAACATAGCCATTACACTAACTGCTGGTCCCCCAAAATGGAAAATTATTGATGATAATGTGTATGATAACATCTTTAACTGAACTAATATACAGTATTCATGCTGGGAAGTTCATTTTGCATGCTGTGATGATATATAGTGATTGAATGTATAAATTTTTTTAAAAATGGGAATAACAATTACAGTTTTATTGTTTAGAACAGTGCCCACCTGGCACATGATTAAGGGTTTAAAAGGTAATTCTGGGACCAGTAGATGGCATAATGGCTATGTTGCTGGACTCCCAGGTAGTCAACCACAGTTCAAGTCCTGGATCTGGTTGTCTAAAGTCACACTGAGCTTGTGTGCATGCATGCCCAAGGTCCCAGGAGGAGAATGGAGGAGAAGGGATTGTGGCGTGGCCATCCCCCCTGGGGGGTGATTTCTTGCTTTCTCTTAGTCTCTTCTCTCTGTCTTTCTGGCGAGTGCGCGCACCCTATAGCAAAAACCTCTCCAAAAAAAAAAAAGAATCCTTTTTCTATTTATTTATTTATTTATTTAAAGTTTTGCTATAGGGCATGTGTGCTTGTCAGAAAGAGAGAGACAGGAAGAAAGTGAGAAATCACCTTCCTCCTCCCAGGGATGCCACTCTGCAATCTCTTCTCCTTTGTTCTCCTCTTGGGATTTTTGGTTTGTTTCTCAAGTCGCCAGGTCCAAGACTTTAACTGTGAAGTCAGCCATGTGGATCCAGCCACCTTAACTTTCACGCTGGCTTGGTAATCCTGCATTTATAGCACTTATCACACCTGACATTTGATCATATGTTATTAGTCTGTCTTCTCCACTAGAAAGTAAATTCCACTGGGGTAGGAGTATGTTTTACTGATGATTTTATTCCTAGCTCCCAGAGTAGTATCTTTGGCATAAAGGCCTTCCGTAAGTATTTGTTAAGTATGAATGAATTTATTACATGTTTTAAAAGTCATAAATACACTATCAAATTACATTATTTCCTTAAAACAGGTTTCCCATAACTGAATATTTGACTACTATACTGTGTGGCACGCAAACTCTTTGGCGTTTAAATTCAAAAAGAAAATAATAAAAAATGGAACAATCTATATCTGAAAAACCCTAATCTACTGCGTTAACAAGCTTGATCAGCTGGAGCCAGCAGATGGCATAGCAGTTACGTTGCTGGACTTCCACCGGGCCGACAGCGGTTTGAATCCTGGACCTGGTGGTTTGAACCTCACATCAGGCACGTGTGTGTGTGTGTGTGCCCAAGATCCCCGGAGAACAGAAGAGAAGGGATTGTGGCGTGGCCATCATCCTTGGGAGGTGATTTCTCACTTTCCCTCTCACTGTCCCTATCTCTCTCTCTCCCAGGTGAGCACATTTGCCATAAGGCAAAAAATCTCTAAAAAAAAAAAAACTTGATCAAGGGTCTAGCAAGTGTGAAGGTGCTGGACACTCCCACATGAACAACCACAGTTTGAGTCCTAGACCAGGAGGCTTAATTTCTCACTTTCCCTCTTTCTCTCTCTGTGTGTGTCTCTCTCTGGTCAAATTAAAATAAATGAATGAATAAATAAAATAAAATAAATAATTAAAAAAATTAACTTGATCAGTCAAAACAAATTTAATACATAACACCACAGTACTAGGGGAGATATGCATGAGGCTATTATGTAGAGTGCTTAATATAGGGCCTAGCACAAAAAAGCATCTAAATTATTGTATACAAGCTATAAAGACTTAAAGAAGATGCAATAATGCAGATGTTAAATTACAATGAAAAGATTTGAAAATTGTATGCTTGTGTATATTGTCTTGTTTCAAGTTTCTGTGTTAACCCTACCCTATGTAACTTCTTCAACTAAAGGTTTTTGTTTTTTTTTTTTAGAAATAGGGTACCCTCTTTCCATCCTTCCTTCCTTCCTTTCTTTTCTTTTTTTTTTTTTTTTGGAGGGTTTTTTTTTTTTTTTTTTACTTTTTTTAAATTTTCTCACCACACAGACAGAGACAGACAGACAGAAAGCAAGAAATTACCCCCCGGGGGGATGGCCATGCCACAATCCCTTCTCCTCCATTCTCCTCTTGGGATCCTGGGCGTGTGTACGCGTGCACACACACACACACACACACACACACACACACACGCACCCGGCGTGAGTTTTAAGTCACCGGGTCCGGGACGCAAACCGTGGTCGACTACATGGGAGTCCAGTGACATAGCCATTACGCTAACTGCTGGTCCCTTCCTTTCTTTTTTTAAAGAGGTTTTTGCCTTAGGGTACATGTGCTTGCCAGAGAGAGACAGAGACAGTCAGAGGGAAAGTGAGACATCACCTCCTGGAAGGAATGGCCATACCGCAGTTCCTTCTCTATTCCCCTCCTGGGATCTTGGGCACACAGCACTCATGCCTGGTGTGATTTTTCAAGCCACCAAGTCTATGACTCGAACTGTGGTCGGCTATGTGGTAGTCCAGGGACATAACCACTATGCTACTTTCTGGCCCCCTGAGACAGATACCCTTAACAGGGCCTCAACACACTGTGATTCTTCCTTTAGACACACAGCTTGGTGCCTAGGTAGACCTGGAATCCAAAGCCAGGCCCCTCATGTCTCCAGAATCACACAGAAGCAACCTACCACCTGTACCACTACTGCTGGGCTGAGTATGGAATAATGGCTCAGCGAAAAAAAACACATATGTGTATTTGTGTGTACATGGAGTCTTCAAACATTTCATGGAAAATGTGTTTTATGAAAAACTTGTACACATTTCAAAATTTTTGTGTCCAAATACATACTTCAAATCAGTTTTTCCATAACATTTTTGAAGTATGTTTGTATGTGCATAAGATATCTGGAAGCATATACTAGGAACTGACAAAAGTGTTAGTTTCTAGAGAGGAGAGCTATGTAAGTAACAGAGGTAGAAGGCTTTCTGCCATTTACTCTTGAATTTTAGACCACGTGACTGTGAATGCATTTCTGCATTAACATGAAATATATTTTTAAAAATAATTATTTAATTTTATTATTCATTCATTTTTTAATTTGATGAGAGAGAGAGAAGAGAGAGAGAGAGGGGAAAGGGAAAGGGAAAGTGAAAGTGAGAAAGCAAGCCATCAGGTCTGAGACTTGAACCGTGATCTGTCATGTGGGAGTCCAGCACCTTTAACCACCATGCCACTTGCTGGCCCCTTATTATTCATTCATTTTTTAATTTGATGAGAGAGAGAGAAGAGAGAGAGAGAGGGGAAAGGGAAAGGGAAAGTGAAAGTGAGAAAGCAAAGCCATCAAGGTCTGGGACTTGAACTGTGGTCAGCCACTTGGGAGTGTCCAGCGCCTTAACCACCATGCCACCTGCTATTCCCCTAATATGAAAGATATTTTTAAAGGAGAATCATAATCAGGGCCGGCAAGGTGGCATGGTGGATGGGGGCACTGGCTTCCCACATGGCCAACTGTGGTTTGAGTCCTGGACATGGTGACTTCTCAGTTTCCTTCTTTCTCTCTCTCATTCTGTCCCTCTCTGGTCAAATTAAAATAAAATAAATGAATAAGTAAAGTTAAATAAAATAATATTTTTAAAAAAGAATCATAATCTAAATTTAAAATAAGGGGCCAGCAGGTGGTGTGATGGTTGGGATGCTAGACTCCCACATGGGTGACTGTGGTTTGAGTTCCAGACCTGGCAGCTTATTTTCTCATTTTTCCTCTCTCTTTTGCTCTCTCTCTCTCTGTCTCTCTCTGGTGAGCACACGTGCCCTGTAGTAAATTAAAAAATAAGAATAAATAAATAGTATTTCACAAAAAATTTTTTAAAATGCTAAAATAAATAAATTTAAAGTAAAACTAGAATTCTTTGATTAGAGATATCTACTTACATAGGCTCATTGTTGCTTCTAAGTGTAAATCATGAGCTCACAGAAGATTGCTAAATAATAGAAAACAATGGTCGGAGAAAAATGGAAGGAAGAGAAATTAATAGGTGTGGTAAACAACCACCATCTTTCTTGGGGCAAAGAACTATTAATAGCCACTTAGTTCAGGTACTGTGAAACTCATCTGTACACTTAACATCTGATCTCTTGAGATGATGATTTAGAGTTAAAAAAAAAAGAGACAAATTAATGCAATCAGGCTTAAAATACTTAATTCAGGCTCAATTTTATTTTGCCCTTTTTAACCTTCCCCCCTCCAAACCCTGTAAAATAGATCTGAGCAGATTTTATGGAGGAAGAGGATGATACCCAGAGAGGCTGATTTGCCTCATGCCACATAATTTATATGAGCTGAAATCAGTACTTTGGTCCTCTCAATACTGGAATTCCTCTTTTCCATTTGTACCCACTTATTCTTCAGCTCCCGCCCTCTCATCCTATTCTCTCTCGATTACACTTACTTTTCTTTTTTTGGTGTTTATATGCCTTCTAAGAGAAGTGGCAATTTAAATACTGGTGTAAACAGTTATTGTACCTCTCTAACTACTTAACATGTTTAAATGTATAAAAATTGCATTAAAATATCAATATGCAATTATTTTCCCACTACTTAAAATTTTAATAATATATTGAAGATTCTGGACCAAAATAATGTGCAAAGAGAAGACAAGGAATATTAAAATAACTTACAACAAATTTCTAAAACCCCTCAATATTAAAATTGGTAAGACAAAAATATGATTTACAATGAATGTTGGCCCTATGGTATAGATAAGAAAATAGTACCCATAGTAAAAAATTCATCTTACTTATCAAAATTCCTAGTGTACAAGTGAAAATACTCAGATGCGTATAAATAGAGAGTATTCTAAAGTTTCTTTTGGACAAATTCTTTGGTGTTTATAAACTGTAAATATTATATATTAATATCATAAAGTCTTTTCATACTACACAACCCGTTAAAATTGGGAATGAAAAAATATAAACTAGGTATCATCACAGAAAGTAGTTACAGGTTAATTTGAGTTCATGGTGCCCAAATGTTTCTGAACAAGTTTTACTTATTAGACCTTGAAATAATTACCTATTCTTTGATTTTTTTATATATCTAAATGTTCCAGAAATTAGAAGTTATACTGCTAACAAGAGAATTCAACTCGGAGTTGACAACTATCTATAATTTTTTTTCAGCTGGCTGTCGCACATGTATGGAGTTAAATGAAAAGATGAAAAGCCTAGCATTGCTTGGGTATCAGCTTGATAAGCAGCTTGGAGTGCCAGATGCATACTAAGAAATGGAATATTCTAATTTGGAGGAAGATAACGAGTGAGTGAATAACATGGACACACGCTGTGTAAGTTCTTTACCCTAATAAATTAATTATTCATTTGCAAATATTACCAAAAGTAAAAAATTTATTTTACAGTGGTTGGTTCTGTAATACACCAAAAGCGGTCATGTTATTCTTCCCTATTCTCACTGCTTATCTCGTATCAGTGGTTGATGCTTCTCCAAAAAAATTTAGTTGACATTTAAAGTGGCGATACAGGATTTACCTAATGGACTTAAGTTATAATTAGAAACCAGTTTTATATACAGAAAATCCACAAATATAGAACCTTTATTCCTAGTTTATCTTAGGTTATGCAAAAAATTGACTAAAAATTTTTCATTTGGGTCTCTGTAATAAACATGTAAATACATATTTACAATGGAGATGCCTTTTGATACAAAGTTAACACACAAGTAATTTTGGTTTTTACTAGAATCCATCATTATGTGTCCACTTTTGAAGATACTATATCAGGTTCATTCAAATTTTAATATTCTTTTTATACACATAATCCAAATAACTATTTTACTTGTACAACTACTGCTTCATTCTATATTTATACTTCCTTCAAGGAAGATTACCTGATCCAATAGTAGGGAGTTTTAAAAGTTTCTGTACAATCATGTGCAATTTTTGTTCTTCCAGCAATATTACAAATACTAATTAAATACATTTAGTCCTCATTCTTCATACCCTAAGAATAATTCTTGAGTTATCTCACATGATATAAGTACCATCTTTGCAGTATTTCATGGACTCCATCTGTTTTGTCATAGCCAGAACATCATGAAATCCAGTACTCAGGCCAGACATATGTTGAAAGTATGCTTCTTTTTCCACTTGAATGGTTAAATTGTTTACTCCAGCATCTTTAAGTATTCCTGTAACCTGTTATAAAATTCCAGACATTTAAATCATTGAGATTAATGCAGCTAGTATACACCTTAAATCATTGATTTTACTTTTTTTTTTTTTTTAGGTTTTTGCCATAGGATGTTTATGCTCCCCAGGGTGTGTATGTTCCCCAGAGAGAAACAGAGAGAGAGAAAGTGAGTAATTACTCCCAAGGGGGAACAGCTAAGCCACAATTCCATCTCCTCCATTCTCCTCCTGAGATTTTGGGCATACATACACACATGCCTGGCATGAATTGCAAGCTGCCAGGCTCAGGACTCAAGTCTCAGTCAGTCACGTGCCTTAACTACCACACCACTTGCTGGCCCTGTTATTACACTTTCTTTTTTTAAAAAAAGAATTATTTTTATTTAACTTTATTTATTTATTTTAATTTGATCAGAGAGGGAGGGAGAGAGAGGGAGAGGGAGTGAGCCACCAGGACTGGGACTCGAACTGCAGTTGACCATGTGGGAGTCCAGCACCCTTAACCACCATGCCACATGCTGGCCCTGATATCGCATTTTCTATGGGTATAGGCAGTCCATGATAGAACCTCAAAGTAATGTTTATCATTTAGTTAGTCAAAATATTAGATGGGGCCTTTTAGAGGGTTAGTAAATTACTGACTTGACAATTGAAGTAGAAAAGGAAAACAGCTATTTCCAGTTTGGTACATCTTAACAGGACTCTAGGTATTCTTTTGATTGCTATCCCAACTATAGTACACATTCACCAACTTGGTTATTATTAATTTATGGCTGTATTTATTAATTTATTTTTACTTACTTATTTTTAAAATAATTGTTTTATTTAACTTTATTTATTTATTTAAATTTTATCAGAGAGGGACAGAGAGAGAGGGAAAGTGGGAAAGTAAGCCACTGGGTCTAGTACTTGAACCATGGTCGGCCATGTGGGAATCCAGTACCCTTAACCACTATGTCACCTGCTGGCCCCATGGCTATATTTATAATAATTTACTTCTTTTTTTTTTTGGAGAGGTTTTTGCTATAGGGCGCATGCACTCGCCAGATAG